AATATTGACCTTATGATTGTTCAATTGATCTTCAAGAAGGAGTTCAACCGTCATTTGGACCAATCTATAGCTTATCACAAAACGAGTTGGCTGTACTAAAAGAGTATACTGACAAGAACTTGGCTAAAAACTTCATACACCATTCAAAATCTCTAGCAGGAGCATCCATCTTATTTGTGAAGAAAAGAGATGAATCTCTATGGATGTGTGTAGACTATCGGAGCCTTAACAAGATCACCTTCAAAAACATGTATCCTTTATCTTTGATTTCAGGACTTCTTGATCAACTCAATCAAGCAAAGATCTACACAAAAATAGATCTACGAGGAGCATACAACTTGATCCATATCAAAGAAGGAGATGAATGGAAGACTGCTTTTCGAGCTAGGTATGGACATTTTAAAAATAGTGTCATGACTTTTCGACTTACAAATGTACCAACTGCTTTTCAATATCTTATGAATGATGTTTTTGTGAGTTTTTAGATAATTTTATCGTTTCTTATTTAGACGATATTTTAATCTACTCTAAAAACACAGAAGAATATAAATTCCATATTCGTCGTGTATTACAAAAATTAAGAGATGCAAGATTATATGCCAAGTTGGAAAAGTTTGTATTTCACACTATTCAAGTTGACTTTTTAGGATACATCATTTCTAACAAAGGCGTGATGATGGATCCCAAGAAGATCCAAACTATCATAGATGGGAAGATTCCAAAAATAGTATGAGATGTGTAATGCTTTTTGGGCTTTGTAAATTACTATCGAATCTTCATCAAGAACTTTTCTCAAGTTGTAGCTCCACTTACGTGTTTGACTTGTAAAGACAAATTTGAGTGGAATAAAGAAGCTGAAGTAGTGTTTGATGCTTTAAAGAAGGAATTTACTTCTGCACCAATCTTTTATTGCGTCGACTTTTTCAAGGCATTTTTTATGGAAACAGATGCATCAGACTTTGCCTTGGATGTCATTTTGTCACAAATGGGAGAAAATGACAAGCTCCATCCAATAGCTTTTCATTCCAGGAAATTTTTAGCAGCCGAGATTAACAATGAAATCTATTATAAAGAGCTTCTTGCAATTATGGATTCATTTCAAGAAGGGCGTTATTATCTAGAAGGCATCTCAAGTCCAATCACCGTGTACATGGATCATAAGAGCTTCAAGTATTTTATGTCAACACGCATATTAAATCATAGTCAAGTTCGTTAGAGCATGTCATTATCAAGATTCGAGTTCATCATAACTTATCGACCAGGAAAACAACAAGGTTTGTCCAATGCCTTGTCTAGACATTCTTATCTTGCACCAAAAGAAGGAAATACAGCTTTTGAGCAACAAAGAACGGTTCTCTTGAAGCTGGAGAAATTTCATCTTCGAGCAATAAAATCAACATTAACTATTGATTTAACTTTTTTTAAGCAAGTCTAGTTGAGTATGTCTTCAGACCTTCTTATTCACAATATCAAGAATAATTCTTCTAAATCTCATGATCCCTTTAAATTCGAGTTCAAGAACAATCTACTCTATTTCGAAAGATGCCTATATGTTCCAAAAGGAGAAGCACTTTTACGAGTTCTTCAAGCTCATCACGACTTTCCAACAGCATGACATTTTGGATACAATAAGACTTTAGAGCTGATATCTAGGGATTTTTAGTGGCCTCAAGTGTGGAAGGCAGTTAAAGATTTTGTACAATCATGTGATATTTGCTCAAGATCAAAAACTCCTCGTCATCGATCTTTTGGACTTCTTCAGCCATTACCCATTCCAGAACAACCATGGTCTTCTGTTTCTATGGACTTCATCACAAATCTTCTAAGCTCAAGTTCTTATGACTCTATATTTGTGATAGTAGATCGTTTTAACAAGATGGCACATTTTGTGCCATGTACAAAATCCATCATGGGTGAAGAAACATCTAAGCTTTTTTATTGACAATATCTATCACTATCATGGGTTACCAAAGGATATTATATTGGATAGAAGAACTCAATTTGTATCAAGATTTTGGAGAACCTTTTTTAAGATTTTACAAGTGGATATAAAACTATCTTCGGCTTTTCATCCTCAAACTGACGGACAGACAAAGCGCATAAACCAAGTCTTGGAGCAATACTTAAGATGTACCATCAACTATCAACAAGATGATTGGACAACTCTTCTGCCATTGGCAGAGTTTGCTTATAATAATATGGTGCATTCTTCTATGCAACAAACACCTTTCTTTGCCAATTATGGTTATCATCCATGACTTGATATGTTTGATTTCTCAAAAGTTGATAATCCTGTGGCAAAAGATATGGCAAATCGATTGTCAAAGTTACATGCAACAATGAAGGCGCAATTAAAAGAAGCTCAAGAACGACAAAAGATAAATGTAGATGTCTATTGAAAGGAACAACCACCATTCCACATGGGCGATAAGGTATGGTTACTTCATCGCAATATCAAGACCACTCATCCTTGTGACAAGTTGGACGATTGAAGGCTTGGACCATTTTTTATTTTTACACAAATCAATCCAGTTGCATATCGTTTATATCTACCGAAGTCAATGAAAATCCATCCAATATTCTACGTGTCTCTTCTTGAACCATACAAGACAGTGGACATACCAAGAAGAAGACAAGTTCCATTTCCTCCTATAGAAGTGGACAATAAAGAAGAGTTTGAAGTGAAAGAAGACTTAGATTCAAGGCGGCACCGAAATAAATTAGAATATCTTATCTATTGGCATGGACATGATATTAGTGAACGGACATGAGAGCCAGTAAAGAATCTTGTAAATGCAGCAAAGGTGGTGGAGGCTTTTCATCGATGACATCTATCAAAACCACGATAAAAATCTTCTTTATAAAAGAAACAAGATCTAAATAAGATAACATTCTACTTTCAATCCTTGTTTGTAGCTTCTTTGTAATTATGATACTAAGGAGATGGAGAACTAACAACCAGTGGATTCGACTGAAGAGCCTTCATTTGCTGATGTACCAGATGAGATATTATAATTGTCGCAACTATCAAGATGATGCAATCGAGATGAAGATCTTCAAGAACGACATCTTCTTTCTCGAATAGATGGTGAGATGCAACGCGTTTGGTATCACGACTTGGGAAGCGACTCTCGATGTTTGGTGATTTTACAAGAGCTAGGAACAACTTCTGATAGTGTTCCAAATGTTCTATTCAAAGGAAGTTATGAAGGCCTCAACAATGATCAAATAATTAGTTGGTCTTCCCGCCCTGGTATGGGATACTACCGATGGTTGAGAGGCCCTATCAATCATCTTCAAAGAGAACAAAGATCAAAGTATGTGGCGAATACAATTTGTCGCATCATAGATTTCTTCAACATATGTTGACCGCTCTTCATAGAACTCGTCCCTAGAAAGGGGGGGTAATGTCACGGACATATGCATGTAAGCTTGTAATTAAATGTATAAATAGGTAGAAGTAAATAAAAGTAGATAAAAGTAAGTTAATTCTATAGTATTTGATATGGAAGCTTCCTAGAAGCTTTATAGACACTGTTTTGACTTCATAGGTGTCTTTAATTGACTTTTTGGATTAGAAACGTGGTCAACAAGTTGGCCATGTGCCACACATGTTGTTAGCTTGAAGACCAAGCTAACTATGTGGCCCACACGTAGAAAAACTTGCCTTGTAAGTCAAGGCTAGTGTCCTACAAAGTCAACACATATTGGATGTCCTATAGAATGTCGCCATGTAGCCCCTAGTTAGATAGTATATATAGAGACAAGAGTGAAGCCTTCTTCACTCTTGTCAACTCCTTTCTTATATCCAGTCTAATTTCAAGAGTCGTCAAGTTTTCTAGACTTTAGCAATAGCCATTCTAGTTCAATATATTATCACCTTTGAGTGATTTCTAAGTATTTTCGAGTGACACAAGAGTATATTGAGATTATCTTTCTTTAGAGTTCATATCCTTGATAAGCTTCTAAGAAGCTTGTATGGCAAATATTATAGAATTAACATACTTTTACTTATTTTTACTTACTTTTACTTATTTATACATATAATTACTGGCTTATATGCGTATGTCCGTGACACTCTTGGTCCTTGATCTCGTCCTATATCCATAAGATGCCCTTTATTTACACCAAGAGTCAACCCTTTGACCATTAATAACTTACCTAAGATAATATCTTTTACTACGTAATTTATTCTATTTTTAATTACTTACTTCAATAAGTATTATCTCACATATTCTATTCTTCAAATTAGAAATAAAAGATGTGTTGAATCCTTAGTCCATGTACACATATTCATTCTATAGTTCTCATAGTTTAGACAACATGTATGTTGTCAAATATTGCACAAAACAGATTTTAATTTAATAAATTTATTAAAAATGATTAAAGTACACATCATATTTTTATTTTTCTAGGCAATACAAAGAATATATATAGATTCATTTTAAAATCATGAGATGTCTCCAAACACATGCACAATCCATAAAATTCATAATACTTCTCAAGTATTCTAAAACTAAATACTAAATGATTTCTTTTCAAAAGCTTTTTTTTCAAGCCAATGCCAATTTGAAAAAAAATAAGTAAACATGTTTTTACTAAACATATTCACTATTTCACTTTCTTCAAAAATCTAGACTAGAAGTTGTGTCATACAATTAATTTGATGTGTGGAACAAATACATTTATTCAATTTATTTTATTTTAGAATAAGCATATACATAAAAATAAAAAATCTATTTAAAAAAGTATAATATAGATATCAAAAAACCCTTCTACTTTTGTAAGTGGAAAGGTTAAAATCTGCCAAATCTTTTTAATAAAATGACAATAAATAAATAAATCTTTTGAAGATTTAAAGATGTATATACATATATGTTTACACACACACACAATTATACTTTTTTGGCACCAATATACACCCCTGCCGCCAAGAAAAACCCCCAAAAGTAGAGAAAAGTAGGTTGCATCTTCGTATTCAAAGGTCTCAACTAGTTTTTGAACCGCCTCGGAAATCACGAGAGCCCCGATTTCAACCCTTCGTGACCTCGAGCTCGCGGTTGCTTTCATGAGCCCCATTCAACCTCGCGCAGCTCGGAATTCCTTTGTCGAAATCGCCGGCTGGTTGCGGCACAAGGTGGGTTAAGATCTGAGGTGGGTGCCACTCCTCTTGTCCCCAAACTGGCTTCGCGCGGGTAGAAATTGCATCCACATTCGCAGGGTAAATGTGGTGGATTATAGGAATGCTGCCCCCGATCGCTGCGCCTCCGCCACTAAGATGGGAATCGCCACTATTTGCCGAGAGTGAGAGTTGATGTTGGATTGGTCTCACCTCTGGTTGGCCTGATTTCGCGTGGAAGCCTGACTACTCTGTTGGGTACTGGAGATTTCTTCCGTTTTTAGGTCACTGTTTTTTAATGTTTCCACATTCAGTTCCACCATTTGTATCCTTTCATTATATGCTAGAGCCGTTTTTGATGGACAGTGACTCAGTTCCAGTGTCTGGATTTGGCAGCATTGAATGTGTCAGAATAGGGTGATATCTTTCCTTGGAAAGTTCGCAGATGTTTAAGGCGGAACTTGGGTTCCTAAAAATGCTTGACGAACATAGTAGGTGGTGATGAATGCTGTGACTGTACTAAAATTGCATCTTCTCATGAGCGAAACTGATGAAGGTTGCGTGTTTGTTACAAGTTGTGTTTAGTTGCACCATGCGCTTTAATATCCATATATATATATATATATATATATATATATTCACGCACAGACTGAAATCAAAGGTTGTTACGAAACAAAGTTTTTTTTTTTTTTTTTTTTTTTTTTTGTTTGTTAAATGATAACTGAACACTTTTTCAGTTCTTTCACATGCAAATTTAAACCTGAACACCACCAAACAAAAGAATCTTTTTACATTCCCTCAAAACATGAAATTTAGTAATGCGTTTGGTTTTCAGTTTGCTCCGATTGGACTCCAGCGTGAGGCATACCTTAGTGTTTCATATTAAAAGCGCATTGTGAGCGAGAGCGAGATCAACGGAGCTTCTGATGCAATTTAATCTTCTGTGCAACGAAGACACATCTTGGGATAGGATATGCAAGTTGACCCCGGGTTTGTGGAATCATCTGCGTGGCCCTTCTTCATTACTCTGGTGGCATACGAGCTTGAAGGGGGTGATGCTAATCAGCTGCTGGTAACAGAATGAAGCCTGAGGATTTGTTTCGATGAGGTAAGCTGAAAGTCATAAGGCTTGGTTATCATAGCCTTTCACCAGATAACCATTGCACAATCGAGCCTCCAGTAGTTTGAGTAACGATTGTGGTCACAATGAGTGGAAGGGCAAGGAACTTCCAGTTCAAAGAGGAAGAGAATGATATATTTGCTCTGCCTCATCTGGGTGATCTCATCAACCTGCCCCCAATGGAAACAACCTACCGCACCATGAGCGGGTGAGAGTATTCACATCACTTTCTCGTCTGTAAATTCTGCTATCCAAGCCCTAATTCTACAACGCGCATGATTCTGATAAATCTCATATTTTTTACATTTAAATGTCCATCAGTCAGTGCGATTGTGCAATTGTGATCTGCAGTAATGCCCTCTTGTATATTCATAGTAAGTAATCTCCTCTTAAATCCGCATTGGTTAAATTGCCCTAAAACTATGCTGGAAATTGTTTGCAGAGCTGAGGCCGTCTGTGACACTTCTTCAGCAGATCAAGACGATATGAAGCAGATTTATATTCATGATGATGATCGAGTACTTATCAAGGTGCGCTCTTGATGTCAGACGAACCCTGTTGACAAGTTTGAGAGGCAAAAATGGTTGAAAAACCAAGTAAAGTTGATTTTCAGGCATTCATGCAAGGGCTACTTAGAAAATGCTGCTGTTGTTTTAAATGTTTATTGTGTGTCAATATGATTTACAACTGAAACTTTTACCCTGGCTATGTTTTGGCTGTAGGTTGTTCATTTTGGTCATCCCTCATCAGTTGGAATAGAGCTTGAAGATGATGGCGAGTGGCAGTTTAAACCTACGTGGTAAGAGTACCAAGGCCTTGGTCCATGATACAAGAGTGAGTAGAAGTTGTATCGCTAACGTTGGTGATTGCTGGTGATGATGGTTTCCAGATTTTTGGTTAGGGCAACGCAATTTTCATGTATCTCGCATGGGCAGCAATTGCACTGATGAATGTTGATTTCTATCAGGTGTCTGCTTTGAGTGTGCCACGATTTTGACCTAATCAGATAAGTGAGTCTTCCAGGGTTCGACGAGCAGGACCTCGCGCTTGGATCTACTTCGAGCCGCCTTCCGTAAGCTACAGCCGTTATCTGCAATACTGAGTATGTCACCCTAGATACAACCGTGAAGGGGATGGTATGTTATATCTTTATTGCTATCAACACTGACTTATCGATTTCTAAAGCCATTTCCCTTCATATATCATCTACTGAAAAAATGTACCTCTGTTTTATTTCTTCAGGTGAGGGCTGCCATAGTGACATGCGGTGGGTTATGCCCGGGCCTAAATGACGTCGTTCGTCAGGTAAGGTATTACATTGCCCTATCGACTCTTGATCTACCATCGCTTTATAAGAGCAAGTGCCGGTCTCGCCTGTCATTTAAGTTTAAAGGTAGTCTCGCCTCTATAGCAGACAGTACTGTGTGGACATGGCTGTCTTGAAGCGTAGAAGTCGTGACAACGAAACTTTGCAGGACCATGAATTTCAGTGCTTTATACAATCTCTCGAAAGAGATGCATGCAACGTTACTATTGGATCATGCTGCTGACTTCATTCCATGTCACAGATCGTCCTAACATTGGAAGTATATGGAGTGAAAGAAATTCTGGGGATTCAGTATGGTTTTAAGGGCTTCGTGGACAAGAGATACCCGCCCATCATGGTACATGCTTGACATGACTTATTTCTGTGTAGTATATTCGAACCGCAGATAACCAATTTGATTTCTCTGCAATGTTTGGGAAGTTTAATCTTACCTCGGGATTCTAACAGCTCACTCGGAAGACTGTACAACGCATTAACATGGTGGGAGGCAGCTTCTTGGGTGTGTCTCGCGGTTGTCCTCCGGTCGAAGACATTGTAAGCAAACTTGAGGTGTGTACCACAAATTCTACCTTCTCCACTTTCATAGCCAGTTTCACAATGTGACTTTAAACTTGTGCTCCACACCGCTGCATTGATGATGATTTTCAAATTCATTACAATCTCGATCATTCGTTTTTTGATGCTAGGAATGGCATGTCAACATGTTTTTTGTGATCGGAGGAAACGGATCGCATGCGGGTGCCAATACTATCTATCAACATGTAAACAACTTTAATCATTTCTCTAGTAGTACCTAGCGTAAAATACGGCGGTTAAAACGATGGACCGAAAACTGTGGTAGATACTGCACTCATGAGCTCGAATGAGGAGCTTTGTTGGTGAAGATTTCACCTAAACAAAAGCATTGTGTTTGATACACAAGTTAGGTTGAAAAACGGAAGATGAAGCTCGTTGTAGTTGGGATCCCAAAAACCATTGACAATGATATTCAGATTCTGGACAAGACCTTTGGTTTTGACACAGCTGTTGAAGAAGCACAGCGGGCAATCAATGCAGCCTACGTCGAGGTAAATTAAATAGGTTCACAGCAAATTGGTTCAAAGTTCTAATGGGAAACTAAAATAAGTGCAATTACGTGAATCCCTTTTGTTGGGTTTTGAGTAGCTCCGACTTTCATTGAGGTTTTTGAAACTGATTATAGGCAAGCAGTGCTTTTAACGGAGTTGGAATCGTAAAGTTGATGGGACGGCAAAGTGGATACATCTCAATGTATGCAACGATTGCAAGTGGGCAAGTGGATGCTGTGTTGATCCCAGAGGTGCTTCATATGCACCTCAAATCCTTGTACTATCTCAATGTTTGTATTCGAACTCACACAGCATTAGATTCGATTATAATCCTATTTTACACTTGTAGGTTCCGTTTCAATTGGAAGGAGAATATGGAGTTTTGGAATTCATGCACAAAAGACTGAAGAAAAATGGGATTGCGGTTGTGGTCATTGCAGAAGGGGCCGGTCAGGTGATCTAGTTCACTTCTTCGGGGAGCTTGATATCGATCCATCTCGCTGCTTCCATTACTTGTAGTTTGCGCTGATCCCAATTAAGAATTCTGCTTATGCAGGACATGATGGGAGGTGGAGGAGGAACTGATGCTTCTGGGAATCCCATCCTAGGAGATATTGGAAAGTTTTTCTATGATAAGGTAGAAACCTACGACGTTATATGACATCATAAGGTTCTCATTGAGGGTTAAGACCGTGAGTTCTTGGGTGCCACACATCAAAAGCAAGATCAAAACCTCAAACTGGATGTTTTGTTAGCACAGTAACCACTATCTTACCCTACAAAGTCGGGAAAGTTCTATTTGATGAGTGATGCAGGATATACGGTGATGTTGACGATTACTGTCGGACTGCTGGATCAGGTGAAGTCGCACTTTGGGGCCAAAAAATTTCCAGTTGACGTTAAATACATCGATCCAACATACATGATCCGAGCTAGGGCTTGCAATTCCTCCGACCACATCTTCTGTAGCATTTTAGGCCAAAATGCAGTAAGCATTCGCACCAAACAATTTATAATCACATTTGACCAAATGTAGATGTCACGAAGCATGTTCGCATTCTGTCAAAGTTAGGAACACGTTCTCGTCTGACCTAGGAGTCCTATGAAACTTTGATATGTCATCGTTATCCTGTTTGTATCAAGCCACCATTTTCACTTATCAAACTTGTATTAATGTCGTACCCAGGTTCACGGAGCATTTGCTGGATACACCAACATCACAGTGGGAGTGGTGAACACCCACTATTGTTTCCTACCCATTCCGGAAGTCATCAAAAAACCACGAGTAGTGGATCCAAGAAGCAATATGTACCAGCGCTGCGTAACATCTACTGGCCAACCGGAATTTCAAGAACGTAATTGTGACAAAAAATGTAGCGGAGTAGGGGCTGGGTGGAAGGCTGGTGGGGGCAAGGGTAGCGGTGCAGCGCCACATCCTCCTCCAGAACGGAAGAAGAGTCTCACCTTACGACTTGAGAGGGTCGTGGTCGGGAGCGATACTCCTTTAACCACCGTTTCGGAGACACGCATTAGCAGTGAACCCCAAGTCCATGATCCCACATGCATCCTATATGCTGCTGCTAGTAATCCTAGCAGAAATATCTCCGTTCCCCTTCTAAGGGGCAGCAGTACCAGCCATGAGGCTGGGTGCCCCATCAACGAAGCTAGGATTGCACCCTCGCGTTCTCATGATCCAAATTGCCCCATTCAGCGGCCTTGATCTCACTTGAGGATTCAGAACAGTTGAAGAGACTGATTAAAAACCTCTTCAAATTAATCACGCTACATGTTTTTAAGAGGAGATAATACATGAACAATTCCAAAGTAGAAATCCAGCTTGCATGTTAACCTTGGTTTACAGTACATATTTACTTTAAGAACAGTGTGACAACGACGATCTTCTGTCGAAGAAACAACCCTGGCGCAAGGGATGAACTCTTTATTCCAAGTTAGCTTAGAGACATTAAGATTCGTGAATGAAAACTCGATCTAATTTGAATTTTACGCTTCACGTACGAGGAACTCCCCAGAAACATTTTCTCCTCACAGGGTAGATGGATCGGCTTTGCTCTAATCATCATCGTCCCAGAACGTTGAAAAGTTGCCTCTTGTCATTTCATGCCATTATGAACTACAGCAGAGCTTGAAATTAGAAAGTTTCTAGCATGATCAGACTGAGAGGAAGAGTTTGAGGTATTCAAAACATTTTGTCGAGATCTACAATGTACACGCAGGTCTGTGGTTCTATGGTAAACCATACTTCAATGAACAATTTGTTACGGATTGGTGACAACCTACACTCCTAGACTTTTCATGGCCAACACATATACGACACTTCTTGCGATCACAGAGATTGTCCACCTCATGATTTCTTTGCACTCTTGTCAAGAGTAGCAAGACCAGATTGAATGGTCTGAATTTCCTCCTTGATTGCCTTTTTCTTCACATCGATAAGCTTATCGCGTTTTTGTTTGCGCAGCTGTTCAAGCTCCGATTTCAAGGCCTGCAACCTCTGCACCAACTCATCGCGGGCAGAAACTGCTGGAGGAGCGAATGGGGATGCGGTTTGAACAGCTGGGGCAGGAGCAGGAGACGGCAAACTTTGCACTGTCATTGGAGGAAGTGGTCTAGGTTGGGGTTCCCTTGTCATTGCGTAGTAAGATCCTCCAACAATCGTTACTCCAGCCAAAACAGCAACCACACCAGCCAATCCCCCTCCTCCGGACTTCGGCTTTTGCATGCCTGCATCCTGGGCCTGATACAACAGTATTGGAAAGAATAATAAAATGATATGTAGGCATTCCATGAAGCAGGAATTTTACTTGGCGGGAGAAAACAAACACTCAGTGCACATGTGACTACTGTAGTGGTATACAAGGACTTGCACCGACAGTAGCCTACACTGCTACTGAGACATTCTTGCCTTTTACTACAAAATCTCCAATATCTATGCAAAACCAGGTTTAGGGTTTAGTCAATGTGTGAAATCAAACTTTTCGGGATGTTTACCACTGTAGAGGCGGATCGAGATATGCTAGAGCGGCATGTCTGGGGGCGGAGATGCTTAGGAACTCCAAGTTCACGAATGACTGCTCTCGACATGACTCCCTAAGGAGCGCGCAGATCGACGCGACTCTTATCTGCTGCAGACTGAAACAAGTCACTGTGAGTTCCACAGTTAACAATACCGTGGTAAAAACACATAATAAAATATCTGCTTTCAAGGAATGAAAGACACAGTCAACGACTTCAATTAGGAATTTTAAAAACTAATAAACAAATACAGCTATTACAGATGTGTGCTTCTAGTATTTAAAAGCAGCGCCTCAGCAGTCGACCACAAAATAGACAATTGTTTTCATCAACATAATAATGTGAAAATTGGAGAAACGACAGATCCTCAGGAAAAGAGGGAAATTCATGATCTGGTACTGGGTAATGAGCGGAAACGTCCAAAATGAACGTTACGGACCCATAATGCAGGTGAGTCCTCCAACTATCATTTTAATATTTATGCTGGGAACAGCACACCACATGCTAGGAGAAAGATTTACGCTCAATGAACGTTACGGACCCATAATGCAGGTGAGTTCTCCAACTATCATTTTAGTGATCGTGCTGGGAACAGCACACCACATGCTAGGAGAAAGAATTACGCCCAATGAACGTTATTGAAAGCAGATAACACCAGGGTAGGTGCTAGTAAGAAGCTTCAGAATTCGATGAATTCAAATCTTAAGTCAACGACATCACAATAAACTAAAAAAAAATCTGGTCCACATGGCACTGAAATCATTTCGGAAATATGAAATAAAATGAAACTCAGGAATACTCAGGCTCAGGATAAGAAGACTACACAGACCTCAATGACGGAAACAAAACAGCAAAAAGAAAATGCCAGAAGATCACCATCCAACAATAAAGACTACGGGCAGCACTGCTGAACTCAACCTACAAATTCAACGAAACCTTTTAAACCACAACTCTTTTTAAAAAATCAAAAAATTTAAAAACCTCGAAAGATATTCCATTCTGAACCTTGACCGGGTTGAAATTCACGAACCGAATTACACAACTCTGGCGCTAACAATGCGGAAACACACGCACAAGAGCATGCAAACACTCTAGATGCCAGACGAGGACCTCTGCTAACGCTCCCGAAGCACCAAACGATCGCAGAAACGTCAACAATGCGCAAGCAAATAGAAATCCCAAGCCCCAGAGCTCAGCAGCTGCTTACCAGAGCAATGATGCACGGAATCGGACACGGAAAAGAGCAATGAGTGTGAAAATGAAGCGAGACGCGACGAGGTAGATGCGATTGCGCGTCGCCGAAGGAGAAGCGGGCTCCTGGATGGCGCTGAAAGGGAGCAGAATCTGTGCCTCCGAAATCAAGCACTCGATTCTCCTTCGTAGTAGCAGTAGCAGTCTTCCAGCGTGCTTCCAGAAACTAGGGTTTTATGACCGATCTGCGGTGATCGATGCCCGTGCCCCCACTTTGATTGTGAAGTGCTCCACCGACCCCTTTCCGTTCGCCACCTGGCTATACCTATCCGAGCTGGACAGCTCCGACTTGGCGGGACCCGCATCTATTGGCCGAGGCTGGAACCGCATGCATGAAGGGGAGGGAATATTCGGCGTTTGTAGTATTTTGTATTGTATTCCTCACTTTGTTTCTACGACGGTTTGTATGTTACCATTCAATGCCCTTGCTTTGCTCTTCTTATATTTATATTTAGGGGAATGTTGAATAGACCCAGGTTTTTACTAAATTGACCTACCCATGATGAAGAATATGGTTATAATAATTAAGCAAATATTCATGTGTAATGGTATACAAAACCTTAAAAAAATGAAATATGAAATGCACCTACATGAATATGGTTTTTGACTTGTGGCATATTTTTGGATTTTTTGTAAATAAAGATTAAATGTTTTTACAGATCATATTGTCTTCAATAAAAAATAAAAATACTTAAGAAACAACCATATATCTCTTATCAAGTTTGGAATTATAAATAGTTAAATATATATCTTATCAAATTATAATTAGTAACAATAAATAATTAAATTTTAAAACTAAAAATTCAAAACTAAAAATAAGAAACATCCTTTCAAATCATTAAAAGTCAATTATATTGACTTAATGTTAATTTGTAATATTTTATATAAAAGGTACCACAAAATTTATTATATTTGATATATAATCTTATCAAATTTAGACAAGTATTAAAGATGACATTTTTCAGATATAAAGTTAAAAGATACATGTATAGACCAATTAAAATTGAAAAAAAATACATATTTATACTTCTAAGAAATTATTAATTATTTTATTATTATTCTATATTTTTAAATTATTAAATATTATTATTATCTTCAAAAATTAAAAATTGATAAATTAAAGAATATTTATAATAATTATAAGAAAGAATTAGCAATATTATGGCATAATTTCTTTATAACTTTGATAAATATAAATTTTAAAATTTTTAATTATAACATAGAATATGATATTATTTTATTTTTATTTTTAGCTAATTATAAAATTAAATAAGATTAAATAAAAAAATATAAGAAAATTTATATTTACATATGAATTTACATGAAGTACCTACACATAAAACTTATTTCTTTCTATATGGTTTTTGCTTTCTTGTTTAAATATTATTTAATTTTTTAAAAAAAATAACTAAATATTTTATATTTTTATGTTTTTTTCTTATCTTGAAATTTAAGTCTTTTTATTGATGTTTTTTTTGTTTCTACATTGATTCTTGTTGCAATCTATAATCAAACTATGTACTTTGCGTAATCACATGTAACAGGATATAGATAAGATAATAATATAGATAATTAGAACCATGGAAGTTTCTAAAATTGGACTTAAGTTAGTGGACCAAGTAGGATCTATTATAGAACATTCTAGAAAGGATTTAGGGCAGTTATTTAGGTGGGATCTACTACCTAAGAACATTCTAGAAAGTCTAGGGTCATAGGACAAAGTATAAATAGAACTGGCTAGGGCCTTTTTGGGCATCTAGTCAAGTATGGCTTTAGATCCTTTTTCTTATTAAAGTTTAGTTTTGCATCTTTCTGTTCACATTTGTTTTGTTCTATTTTTGTTTGCTCAATTTTGTCTTTCATGTCTTATTTTGTTTAGTTCCGTTCAGTTTTGTTCTCAATTGTTTTGTCCTATTTTGTGAGGTGGCCTTATGTTGTTGTGGATTGAAAGGATCTTGAATTTTTGAAATATTTTAGTCATGTTTCATTGATATTAGAGCGAGTGTTAGAATGATTACTTTTAATAGCATATCAATAGTCATCATTTAGTCCAAAATCAGTTCTTATGATTACATTAGGTATTGTGATGAGGCTATCACAAGCTCTTCTTAAAAAGTCAATCTAAAGATGACAAGACATTACAATAGTGGAGTCCAGCAGAAAAATTATAGTATAGGAGATATGGCAGAGCAATCCCAGATAGAGATTCAAATACAACACTTTTTAAGCTAGATAGCTACTTTGCAAGGACAAATAGAAGCCTCAAGGACAAGAGAGTTGATATCTGTTAGGTTGAAATTGATTAAGCCTACTACATACTCTGGAACTTCAAGACAAGAAAATGTATGTCAATAGCTCTTCAATATGCAACAATACTTCCAACTATCTCAATCAAATACCAGTGAAGGAATTATATATGCAACCAGCTATTTGAGGGATGCAGCAACCATATGGTGGCAACATCAAGTTCAAAGCTATGGTGTCAAGGATATGAATCTTGAAGAAAGAAAATCCTCAATACACTCTTGTATCACTAAAGTAAACTAAGAAGTGACTCAAAAAGTGATGTAATATTAAACTAGAATGGCTATTGTCAAAATAAGAAGACTAAAAAGTCTTAAATCAAGACTAAGAACTAAAAAGACATTGATAAGAGTGAAGAAGGCTTTACTCTTGCATCCATATATACTCTTAACTAGGAATTACGTGGTGATGTTGTATAAGACCTCTAAAACGTGTTGATTTTACTAGCCACATGTCTTAACTTGCAAGGCAAATTATCTATGTATGTGCCACATAGTTAGCTTGTTCCACAAGCTATTACATGGAGTTAACTTATTCCACAAGCTATTACATGGAGTTAACTTGTTCCACAAGCTATTATATGGAATTAACTTTTTCTACAAGCTACCAACACGTAGCTAATTTATTGGCCAAGTTTCTATCCTATAAATACATCTAAAGTCAAAATCGCATCTATGAAGCTTATAGAAAGCTATTTTATAAGACTTTATAAAATTAATCTATATTTACCTACTTCTATCTAATCATATAAGTAACTATTGAGAAAAATGTATATATTTGTGATATTACCTGCCTTTCTAGAGATTCGTTCCACAAGTAATGGTCTTCATATGTTGAAGAAGTTTAAGATGTAACAAATTGTATTTGCCACATATTGTGATCTTTGCTTTCTTTGAAGATGCTTGATAGGCCCTCTTAGCCATTGATAGTATCACATACTATGGCAAGAAGACCATGCTGTTATTTGGTTGTTATTTAAGCCTTCCTAACTTCTTTCAAATAAAACATTTGGAACTTTATCAAGAGTTGTTCATACCTCTAATAAAATCACCAAATATGGGGAGTCTCTTCGAAGGTCATGATACTAAATACGTTGTATCTTACCATCTATTCAAAGAACAACATGTCATTTTTGAGGATCTTCATGTCAATTTTGTCATCTTGAAGGTTGTGACAATCATAATGTGTCATCTAGTAAGTTTGCAAATGAAAGCTCTTTACTTGAATTTGCTGGTTGTTGGTTCTCCATCTCCTTAGTATTACAAATACACAAAAGCTATAAAGAAAGACAGAAGGTAGATTTTTATCTTCATTTGATCTTGTTTCTTTTATAGCAAAGATTTTCTATTCTTCATCCTAGTTTTGATGGATTTTATTGATGAAAGGCTTCAACTCTCTTTATTGCATTTGTAAGATTAGTTGATGGCTCCCATGTATGTTCACTAATATCATATCCATGCCAATGAACAAGATATTCTAACCTATTTTTCGCATTGCCTTGAGTCTAAGTCTGCTTTTATCTTGAACTCTTGATTATTATCTACTTCTATAAGAAGAAGTGGCATTTGTCTTCTTTCCAAGATATTCACTGTCTTATATGGATCAAGAAAGACACGTGAAATATAAGGTGGATCTTCATAGACCCCGATAGATGTAATCGATAAGCAATAGGATTGATTTATTCACAAATATGAAAAGATCCTAGTCTATGATATTCTAGCTTATCACAAGGACAAGTAGTCTTGAAATTGCGACAAAATAACCATATCTTATCACCTATATTAAATTGTGGTTGCTCTTTGCCATAGGCATATATATTCATCTTTTATTATTCTTTAGCTTCTTTTAATTGTATCTTCATTGTTACATGTAGCTCTGACAAATAATTTGTTAAATCTTTTGCCATAGAATTATCAACTTTTAAAAAGTCAAAAGTATCAAGTTGTGGATGATAACTATAATTGGTAAAAAAAGATGTTTTTTGAGTAGAAGAATGTACCAAATTATTGTATGCAAATTTTACCAATGGCAAAAGAGTTGTCCAATCATCTTGATGATAATTGATGGTACATCTTAATATTGCTCTAGAACTTGATTCACTCGTTTTGTTTGTCCATCAATTTGAAGATAAAAAGTTGAAGAGAGCTTTATATCAACCTTTAGAATCTTGAATAGGGTTCTCTAAAATCTTGATACAAATTGAATCTTCCTATCCAATATAATATCTTTTGGCAATCTATCATAGCAATAGACATTGTCAATGAAAAGCTTAGCTACTTCTTTACCTAAAATAGATTTTTTATATGGTACAAAATGTACCATTTTGGTGAAGCAATCTATGATTACGAATGTAGAGTCATATGAATTTGAACTTGAAAGATCTATAATAAAATCCATAGAAATAGAAGACCATGGTTGTTTGGACATAGGCAATGATTAGAGAAGTCTACAATATCGATGATGAGGAATTTTTGATCTTGAAAAAATGTCACTTGATTGAACAAAGTCTTTTATTACCTCCTATATTTGTGGCCACCAAAAATCTCTAGATATAAGCTCTAAAGTCTTGTTGTATCCAAAATGTCATGTTGTTGGAAAGTCATGATGTGCTTGAAGAACATATAAATATGCTTCTCATTTTGGAATATATAAGCGCCTTTTGAAATAAAGTAGATTGATCTTAAATTCGAATTTTGAAAAATCATGAAACTTAGAAGAAAGATTCTTGATATCATAAGAAAGATAATCAAAGTAAATACTTGATTGAATTTGCTTGACAAAGGTTGAATCAATAGTCAATGTTGATTTTATTGCTCGAAGTTAAAAATCCTCGAGCTTCAAGAAGATTGTTCTTTATT